AGAAGTTGATGTGTTCAATTTACTTCTAAATGTAGCAGTCTCAACAGGGTGGAACAAGGTTACTTGGGAGCTGCCAGACTGTCTCCTACAATACACATAAAACTGCAGACATAGCAAAGGCAGCTAAAGACTTTATGTGCATGCTTCAAGTACAACAATAAGATCAACTTAAGACAAACATGGGCAGGGTACAATAGGAGGGCACCCATCGAGTGTGCAACACGTGGACAATTCCCCAGACCTCACCCTTTTATTAGCAAAAGGGGCGTGTTTCTTGTGCAAGTTTGAATGGAAGTTGCACGAATATCTGTGATGAAACGGTATCGGTGTTGGCCACAGTGACCAAAAACTTTCATTAAACTTTTTGCAACTCAGACACTTTCCATTCCTCTACCATGCAATAAAATACTGACTGACTCACCTGTGTACAGTTTATGGAGTAGTCCTCTGGGTTGACAATAGTCAGCTGATACAACATCTTACACACGATTATAATGGAGGTCCAAATTGTACACAGACTTAATGCCATGTGTTGGAAACGTGAAAACGGGACAGCAAATGCCCACAGAATGACAAAGAGGAAATTCATCACAGAAACCTGAGTAACAAGTTGTAAAGTCAAGTTACGTTACGCTCTCACCAAATGTACTCATCGCCAATGAATAACCATATGCAATATATTATAAAGGAGAAACAAAGATAATTAAAACATGACTGCACCCAGAAATAATATTTCACGTTTTTGGTGAGCACTTGTGGGTTCATTTACTCAGCAATTTCTAAGACTCAACTGGTGAAATGTCAACACAGTAGTCGATCTTCACCTCCCACAATGACATAATGAAGGTTTCAGTCGGTCATGGATGGACTGTATTCTACTTATCTTAGCTAGCTTTTGCTGTGGCAAGTAGAGTACAGTACTGTCCAGTAAATAATACATTAAAAACCTCACCCATATCCATATCACCCATATCACAAGAGTTTCAAAAGAACAGTGCTGCACTCTGCAAAGCTAACATCCCTCTGAACATGAAGAAGCCATCAAGGTATCATGATTGTTGATAAATCAGGGGCCTCATAAAAATACACTTTCTGTTCAAACCTCATCTATGCTGGTGTAGGGCTAGCCACATCAAAAATGAATTCTCACCAGATATAGCTAATACATTTTGAGCTAGAAGGCTTGTATGTCTAGGGTCACACTATGACCTCTGCAAACACCTTATGGCAACTGAACAGCGGAAACAAAATCAATTGCTGCATATAAAATGTATCTTGCAATTGCCAAGGTCTCCCTAAAAAAAAAAAAAGGGCTCCAGATTTGCCTGGTGAATGCATCAACATGATTAGCCAATGGAATGCTGTTAAAGCAGATGTGCATGGTCACTGAACAAAACAACTGTACATATACTTTTTTGAGATCCTGGCCCATATTAACACAGATCTAGCTATTTCAAAATCTTGATGAAATGATGGCAAACATGACTGTCTTGAAGATAAACCATCATATCGATACACTTTTTCCCATAGTTGCCAGTTACTGTCAACATGGAGGTGGTGCTGCTGTGGCATGGGCTGCTCAACTCTGATTGGTTCCTAGTCACCAAACCACCAGGTGTAAACTGAGACTTTGTTATAGCGGACTTCAAAAGTGGATGCAAAATGCACAGTTCAAACGTTAAAAGTTCAGCTCACCTCATTTAGGGCCACCCACAAATTGTACAGGGCCACCAGTTTCAGCACGTGCAGCTCCAGGATCCGCCACAGGAAGGCCTGCACCTTGTGCAGGCGATCAGAGAACTTGCAAAAGAGGACAGTGAGACGCAGAGCAACCAGATGCCACTTGCTGAAATTTTCTGGGACATAAAACAAGAAGACGTTTAGAAAGGGCAGAATTTTTGATCACATTATTCTTACTCATGTGTCTTAAATATTAAGGACGCATCAACATTAACTAAGGAATTTATTGCTTCAGTGCTAACAAAAGAATAAGGGAATCTAGAGTGTATTAAATATATGCAGTTGTGGATCCTCCTCTAGTGGTTATATGTAGGTCATTGCATTAATTCCACTTCCCTGATCAACTAAATCTGAGCTATACAAAGTCCATTTATTAATTAGACCTGATTGGCAGACTTAGAGAGAGGAGCGGTAATGAACAACCACCTAAACCAACACTAAACAGGAAAAACAAACAAACAGTCTGCATTAACTCGGACGGAGATCAGCAAGGAGCTGATCTCCCGTCCTCCTCCTCCTGACGCCCTCCGAGCCGGTCCCGGGCCGCAGACGGCGAGCAGAAAAAAAATGCCGTCTGGAGACGGCAACCCGCCAATGCTGCAGTGCCGTCCGTCCGTTTTTTTACAACGGGCGGACGGCAAGTGGTTAATAATGAGCTAATATGGCTGCCCTAGTATACTGTAAATAGAGTATATCATTGGAAGCTTTCCAAATGACATACAAAATTAACAGGCTGATCACTTTTGACAGGTAACAGAAAAGAACACATTTAAAGACCATGGTTTACGTTAAAGAACACTCGTGAGGTGTTTTTACTTGCAAGGTGGTGAAGCACTGTGCCCTGGGGTAGGCAAGTATTCCAATCTGCTGCGGCAATTCTTTTTAAAGGCCGTTAAAGAAAATTGTTAAAATTGTTTGAGTTTATGGTCACAGACTTTAGAAAACAGCTAATGCATTTTGGGGGTTCCAAGATGTCCCCTTATCAGGGCTAATGCTGGACTGGAACTCTCAAATTGCACTGGCTGTTTTTTGTTGTAATGACTACCGAGACAGAAAATGTATCTGAACTGTCAACAATATCTTAGTGATCTCTTGGAGGTTACCCATTATCTCCTGTTTCAGTGACTGCACAGGAAGTGAGAACTTCCCCAATAAGGATACAGACAGAAATAAACTCAGAGAAGTTCTAACCCCTCACTCCTAACCTTCCCTGCACTGTTCCCCGCACTGTTTTCTTTCTCTGACTTTTCTGCCCACCAGACCCAAGGGGACTAATTACAAGAAGTGAATTGTTAGGGTTTACATACACTTTAACTCCACTTGTTTCCCATTATTCTGCATGGGTTAAGTATACCACATGCTTTCATGTTATCAACTATTCTGCTTAATTGCCCTAACAAATTCTTTCTAATTATACAAGGTGAATAAAAAGGTTTGTTTTTTTCATTAACCTTGTATAATGACAAGGTTTTTGACAGAGAGGAGATGTTACATCCGGTAATTATCAGTCTATGGAGCAAACTGAAAACCGTATAGCCATTGTCTTTGTGTAGCTTATACAGAAATTAAATTAAAAAGGCAGAATAATATGCAGGCTGTGGTAGATCCAACCTATGAATTGTTTCTGCCTCATTTGGTAAAGGCAGTAAATCTTACTTGGCAGTTAAACTGCATTCTACATGTCAGGAAACAGATACATTATAATGAAGGCATGTCAAACTCACATGAAAACGGGAGCTGGATGGTATAAAAAAAAAACCCACACACTTTGGTGCATACATTCCCTAATAGGAAAAAATGCTGCAGCACACTAAAGGATTATTATCACGGTGGGTTCTAAAATAAGCTTTATATTATAAAGAAGATCTGTGCTCGGAGAAGTATAGAGCTACAGTTTCTGAGCTCCTCTTTCAAAAAAGCGGACTTCCCCACTGACTGGGAACAAGCATGTAGGTCAGGAGTTTGGCCTATGTTTGTTCCAGGTTAGTAGTCAAAGTATTGAAGCCAGGACAAGCCAGGCAGCTAGCAGTTTTAGAAGGAGCTGAACAACCTTAGCCTGAAATTTAGGGCTGGTAATAATTAAACTTTTCGTGTTCGATGAATCAAATTTTTTTTTAATTTCGTTAGTAATCTCACGTGCCCCACTCAATATGGCCGCCGCTTGAGTGGGGCAACTCAGAATAGTAACGTGCTGGATTAGTGTGATCCTAGTTCATTTTATTACTTCATTGCTGTGCTGTATGTGTATAGCCCAATGCCTTGGCTGGCGCTCGTGCAGAACAAATATTCACCGGCCCAAGTGGCTCCGTCGGCTAACAAAGGGAAGGAGGGGGGGGGAGTCCATCCCTTCGTTAGCCGTCACGGACATCGACGTCACCGGCCTCCCCCCCCCTTCCCTTCGTTAGCCGACGGAGCCACTTGGGGAAGGGGGGAGAAGTCCGGTGACGTCGATGTCTGTGACGTCACCGGATCTCCGACGGGACTCCCAGAAGCCGGCGGAGAGGTGAGTGTTCTCATTTTTGATCAAAATTATTTTAATCAATAAAAAAGTTTAACGATTAATCGAGAAATTGAATGTTAATTTCCACAGCCCTACTGAAGTTATATCCTTTTTCCGCAGCACTGCAGTAATGGCATCAACATCAAAAGCAAAGTGAGCCTCCTAGATAGCAGGTCCTGGTCCAGAACCAGTAGAATGATCTTGATTTTTTCCTTTTTACATAAATTCCTTGAATTATTCTTGAATGTACGAATTGTCAGCTCTCACCTCCAGAATCAGATCTATCTTCAGCACATATTGGAGCACATTCTTCAGCACATTCTTCAGCACATTCTTCAGCACATTCTTCAGCATATTCTTCAGCATATTCCTCCTCTTCTTCCTCCTCTGCGTCACTCCCATGACCAGACACATCTTCTCTTGGTTCCCCTCTTGATTCCTCACTAACAAAACACACAAATAATAGTAAAACACGTATATAAATTTACTTTTAGGGATGAAGAATTGCAGAAGCCTTACACAAGACACATACATGTCCTTTATATATGTGGCCTTTAAAGCTTTCCACTACCTCCTGCTTTGCCTGTCAGAATGACCAGGGATTCTGCTGCACATTGGAGCCTGCACTTTATACCTGCAGCAGGTTTTTTTTTTTTTTTTTTAGACTCTCTGTAAAAATGCATCTTTTGCTTCCAAATATCCTATCCTATATATCTGTGCCCCCCCCCCCCCCAAAAAAAAGTGTACATCCGTCAATTATTTTACAAATGTACTAATTCACTATGAACCTTTCATTTTCCTTTGTACTGGCTGATAATCTGTCAATTTGGAATCTCCCAGAAGTGTTGGGAGCACAACAGCATAACTTTGGATGGGGCTGCTGTAAATCGGACTGTGGCAGACTGGTGCAGTATAGCAATGCTTGGATAAAAAGCTAAACTAAACTAAGCTGTGCTCCCCTGTATGCATTCCAAGGTTTCATTTGTAAATGGAATCAACATTTGTGGGTTACAAACAAACAAGGTAAGTGGTGGAGCTACAGTACAGA